CATAAAAATTGGTTTACCTTGACCCTATTTCAGAGATTCCTGCATAACATATATACATATGCTTGTATGTGTATATTTGAATATATTTCTACATATATGTATATATGGTCACTTGATTATAACAAGAAAATATTTAACAAATAGCTGCTGCTGTAAAATTTCACAGAATGCAAGAATTGCCAATAGGACATCAGAATTGTTTATCAATAATACCTAGAATATGGTCAATTTTATTAGATTTATCAATAGAAAGACTTGGAGTAAATAATTTATGTTGATTTTTTTCCCCCTTTTATGTGTACTTCAAAAGCAGGAATAGATTTTAGAAAATACTTTTGTTTTTAATAAAAAAGGATTAGATGACAACTAAATGAGTGTAGAAGAATGCAAACATCATTCATGGAATTTTAAGGTCTGAGATGGAGAACAGCCCATGTAGCAATGTTTTCTCACTATACATGTGCCCTCATCATAACAATTCAAGGCTCCTGTCACTTTGACTTGCTAATTCAAAAAAATAAAAAGAACTCTGGGCCAAAGTGAAATGCCCAGTCATGAAATGCTGTTTTAAAAATCATATTTTGCTGTCTATAAAGGGTAAAGAAAACTTCTAAATATTCAGTTTGTGCCTTATAATTACAACAGAAATATTTCTTTTAGTGAATCTTTATTAAATCTGGTTGTAAATTGGGCAGGGACAAAAATATTCCCATCCTTTGGCTGTTTTTTTTTTTTTTTTTTTTTTCCTTGAGATATAATTTTGAAGAATAGAACATACCTTTCTAAAACTGAGGTCATATTTCCATTTTAAAGAGAAATGTCAGAGAGCCAAACTCTGATATTTGATGTACAACTGTATGGTCAAAATCTCACTTGCTGGTAGCCTGTTCTTGATAAGGTGTTTAGTTTTACTGGGTGGCTTTCTTCAGTATTTTGTTTCCCAGAGCTGTCTCTCCTTCATAAAAATATTTATGTGCCAATTTAAGGCATTCTAAAGTCAATCAGTTGCAAATGTAAGCTTGTATTATGGGACTTTCCTCTACTTCAGTGTGGTTAATGACTATGTTCCCATGACTTTTAAAAGGACTGGTGCCTCAGCACATTTTCAAAATTATGCCATTTGAAGACATTTCCATTTATAATGCAGCTTAAATCTCATTTCCCTCAATATGTGCCCTCACTTAGTCTATTTTAAGGCTTCTCTGGAAAAAAAATTATATCTCAGCTGCTGTTCCTGCTCTTAATGCCTTCCTAGTCTCAGTAAGAGCAGAAACCAACTGATGCCTCTTTCTGATACTCATACAGAGACAATGTGCAGACACTGCACTATCCTCCATTCCTGGCTGAAGAGCTCAGTCCTACCATTTCATATGATCTACACACACAGCTGCTGCTTTGTGTGTCTGCTAAAGCCTCATGCCTCTCTGTAGTCTCTATGACTTCACAGTTTCCCTGTAGGAACTTAGAGTGAGACTGGTAAAGACTACCTTAATTGCAAGATACTGCAGATCCTAATTGGGGAAAAAAAGCATCACCTGAAATGGTAGTACAGACACAGTCCTGGATTAGTGGAAGAAGGAAAAATAGAAAGGATTATAAAGAAGGGGAGAAAAGAGGTGGAAGTTGTTCTTTTTGATTGTATCCTTAACTTGCTGAGTCAGCAGGAGCCAAGAGCTCTGCAGGGGCACACTTAGCCTTCACGTTTCTCCATAGAAACCCCATCTGGCCAACTAAATTGAGCAATTGAGAAGCCATGCAGGAAGCTGTATCCAGCTATTCTCATCCAGTGTGAAGGTTACTGTGTTGTGGAGGCAGTGGTAGGATAAATAAGGAAAACATTGCAAGACTATGCCTCTCACATACAGGAATGAAAAGCATCAAATATGGATCAAATTTGGGCTGTTCACTGCTGTAGTTGTTAGACAAATAAAGAATTAGACATTGCAAAGAAATGTAGCTTCTATTTTAGGAAGAACCATCATTAAGCAAATTTTTTAAAGAAAAATTTTCCTGAGGAAAAATAATGAAACAAATTCAATAACTATATTTTACTATAGAATTTGTGCTTGAATTTCAAAATCAAAAGCTTTTACTTGTATCTTTCTATCAGGCTATCTGAAAGAAATTTCATGGAGCCCTACTTGGCCTTTGCAAGGACATCTAAATTCAGCTTTCATTTAAAAGCCTTAGAAAAATTAAATGCCTTCTTTAGGCCTGTTAACTTCTAATATTCATTCAGATGCAGGTACTTAATGAGATATAAGCCAGAGACAAATACTATCATTGCATAAAAGAATCCAGTAAGTTATATGGAGAATGCTCCAGAAGAATGCATCAGCCACTGGTTAATGTGCTGTAAAACAGTAATTGCACCTCAGCCCAACAGATCAGTGTTTCCCAAAGAGCAGGGTTGCTCTCTCTGGAGAGATGTGCCAGTATTAAAGGTAAAGCACAGAACAGAGTACAGTCCAATAAATGTATTAACTTAGGCTGTGTGCCCAGAGTGGCATTGCCAGCAGTAGCAAACTGAAGGAAAGATGGTCAAGTGCAGCAGTGTGAAAAAAAAAGAAATGGTGGAGAAGAAGACAACACAGTATCCAGGAAAGCCCGGTACCAGTGATTTTTCTCTCTGCTCACAGTAAAATAGGTTAAATGAGCCAACATCCCTTGCCACATAACTCATTTTCTGATGCTAGTTGTAGCTTGGTGTTGGCACATTGTGTTATCCAGAAGACCTGAGCTACACTTAGGTGACTTGGTAGTGCATTATTGGTGAGGTCTTCACATGGTGTAAGCAGTTTACAGTATTCAGCTTGCAGTACAGAATGAGTGATCACTCAGATTCAAAATTACCAGTCCTCTGTGTTTTATGTGAAGTACTTGAGTTTTAGGAAGAGAATTTAAATTTTAATTTCAGATTAATTTTTTCTTTCACTGATTAAACCTAATTTTCTATAAGCCTTGCAAAGCTTTGACAACTGGGCGTGAAGAAGTTTCCCAGGAGCAAATTAGTTGTTTATAAGAACACTTACCACCCCATGAGTTTTCTAAATCATCGGTTCCCAGCCAATAAGTCTGGAGATAGGTGTCACATCACCAGTGAAGCAGAGAGCAGAACAGAAACTAATAAACTTCCCTCAAGAATAACACAATATACTTCATTCTATTAATGAACAGTTGAAGTTAGATATCAACTTTTTCAACTATCTTACATCCATTAAACTGGTACTTGGGGCATATTTCTACTATCCTCAGTTAATTTTAAATTTTTAAAAAGATTTACATAAAACTTTTTTTTTTTTTTCAGAAAGGCTAAAGAAATGGACTATTAATGAAATCCTTCTTAGTGATGTAGAAGTACCAATGAATTTTAAGTCAAGATACAGTGAGTACTGAAGAAAATATTACAGAAGCTGACTTGTTGCTAAAACCAAGCAGCAAAAGTAAATTTATTAGGCTTCTTCTAGAAATTGTGCTCTCTTATAAATAAGATTTTAGTACAAAAAGTAATTCTCTGCAAAAATCAAATATTAAAGATATATGTTTAAAAAAATACCCTCCCCCCATGGCTGCAGTAATAATCGTACCATATTTCTGTCCAGAATTGGCAACAAATACAAATGTAGACATATTCATTCTGTATGTTTTGCAAAAACTATCTCCCAAACAACGTTATTAATCCACCAGAATTGCCATCCTTAAAGTATTGAATTTGAATACTCATGGCTGCTTTATCTTTTTCCAATGCAGTAACTGTGAGACACTATTCATGTTTGAAACAGGGTTTCAATCCAGTGTACCTTTAGGTTACCTTCTCAAGTCTTCAGGACATGTCAGAATGGATTTTAATGGCCATAATTAGGTTTTCTGTTGCTGCCTTCTGCCAGTTTAACACAGTGCTCTTTTATTGCAGAGATAGCTTCCTACAATCACATCTGTATCATTTCCTCACAAAATTTTCGGTGGCAAGATGGGATCAATCACATGACCTTTGAGTCCTAACCACAGAACAGAACCTTTTCTTTCCATGGCATTAAGAGTTTGCATGCTGTTCTGATGAGTCCTGGAGGGCTTCCTAGAGAAAACTAAGGCAGACTGACTTTTTTCCAAGCTTCAATTCCTCTTGCTCAACAAAGAAGAGTGGGAACAAGCTTGTTCTTCTGTAGACTTCAATTCTATTTCTAATTCATCAACAGATGGCAGTAGAAAACTCCCTCCTTTTCCATCATAAGACCAAAGGCCTTACAAGTGACCCTAATAATGTCAAAGGAAGAAAGAACATCCAAATCATTGCTGTATAAGTCTTATATATATATATATAATGCTCTCTAATCTTTTCAGGGTAGTGTTAAATTCTTTTGAGGATTAATTTTATTCTGAGCCTGAATGACCAGAAGCAGCTACTGCTTTGGGAATGACTGTCTTTCCTGTTACCTTCTGTTTTTAAAGAATTCTTTTATAGATGGACTTTGTTTTTCTAGTTGTGAAAGAATAGATTGAATATAGATTAGAGCAAATCTATACTTTCCCCACAGATAGATTTCTGTGATAAGAAATCTGTTCTCCTATCTCAGTAAAGGCTTTTTCAAACATTATCATTGCAGTGACAGAACAAGTAATTTAATCATTAAGTTTTTGAGACATGCCTTACTAGATTTTGTCATTTCATTAATTCCTCCCCCTTCAAATCAAGTAGATGGCATAATAAACTTAGTGAATTCTTTATATAGATTGAAACACTAGGATGCATGGCATATAGAATACTTTCTTATTTCTTTTTTTAAAAGATGCTGATGTCTTGGCATTGCCAATCAAGGAAAAAGGATTACCATAAAAATTTCTTACAGGCATGCTTTTCTGTAATGTATAATAGTGGGTGTCTGCTATAGGAAAACTCATTATGTAATTCTCTTTTAGCTTCAAGGCACATGAATAAGGCCTAGAGTTCCTGATTTCTATTCCCAACTCTTTCACTAACTTATCTTAATAATCCTTTGCAGTTCACAATTTTCCAGCATGCTTCTTTGGTGAAAGAAAATCATTTCAAAGGAAGGAAGGAAGGAAGAAAGGAAGAAAAAATGGCTCTTTCAAGCATTGCTGGAAGAAGTGGCTTAATGTTCTAAACATAATGGAAATGTCTGAATTTGCTGAGCCAATGATTTAAATTGAGGTATGTTTGAGTGAAACCTTATTTGAGATGTGAGCACTGATTTCCCCCCAATTTAGAGTGGATCTTTTTAGAAGAAATTTTAAACACTCCCTCTGTGTTGGCTGTGTGAGGGTGCTGCTGAGTCCTAATGCAGTTGGCAATGTGTATGTCCTAGAAGCAGTGCAGAGCATTCTGCCTCTGCACACTTCTGTAGAAATGCTGGGGGAAAGCCAGCATTGTATCAAAGCCATGAAGACTAAAACTTCATTTTTAAAGCATTTTTACTTTTTGCATCCTCACCATTAATATTTGGGTTTTTTTTTCCCCTTTTTTCCCCCACCCTCCTCTAAGGAAACAGAAAACCTGCCACAGTAGAATAGATTTCAGTCCTGTTATCAGAAAAAGTTATTGATTTGTACTCCTCCCCTCATCTGTTTTTGCTATCTAAGTATTGTAAAGTTTTCCTATAACTAAGGAAAGGAGATAAATAATGTGGTAAGTATTCAAATTATTTTAAACACATTTTGGCCATATTTTAGTTTTATAACTAGTTTCAGGTTGTTGTCATTTTAATATGAAAAAATGTTGAACAAAAATGAAAGTAACACTAATTCACTGATTTAAATAGTGTTGGTGAGCATGATACTATCATATTCCTATGAAAAATACAACCTGTATTATAAAAATGAGGTTTTAGTTCAGGTATGTCTATTTGAGTGAGGACATTGGTAACAAGTTTGTTATGTGTTAGCTAAAAGTAAATATAAAACAATAATAAAAATATAATTTAAGAGATAAGTACTCATACATAGAAATATTGCATATACATTGCAGAATCTTCTTTTAGTCTTATCATGATGTCTTTAACATAGTGTCATATACCTTTATTTCCAGTGGACCTTGGATATTAAAGAAATTCTGATTTTTTAAAGAAATTCATTCAATGAATATACTGTGTATTGAGAATCCACAGTCTGTGTCCTCCAGCTTCCTATGCTGTGAATGGGAAAACAAGTTAGAGAATGAAAAACTCACCATGCACTCAATAGGGTTTTCTTTTGGTAGTGTTAGTATTTGGAAGTTAGTAGCTTCCTTTGTAAATAACTTTGAGATACATTTAAAAAAAATTATACAATATTATATGTATGACACTGGCAGTGTGAAGTTTTTATGTTCTGAACTGAGAAAAAATAAACGATCCACCAACAAGTGCATCTGCACTGGGAGCATGTTCTGGATGAATATTGAACTTCTACACTTTCAAATTTGCATATTAGTTTTGAGGAACTACCACAAAATGTTTGTGCACAGCATGGAGCAGGCCAGAATGCAACAAGCCCTCTGTCTTCTTCTGTGAACCCTGCTGTATTGCTTCAGGCACAGGAGTGGATATTCTAAACATGAACTCATTCAGTGCAATAGAACAGCTAGTTAGGGTTTATGGTCTGGACAAAGTACCTCCCTAATGGTAGCTGTATTGTTTCTGGTATGACTGGGGATCCACATTACTCTCAGTGACCATCCATCCCCAAAGGTCTTAGGGTGCCTGAGGAAGGCTAAGACCCTGTTTGTTCTACAAGGGGAAATTTTATAAAATTGTACCAATGTGTGTATTATATGACAGGCAGTATGATATGAGAACTCTTGAGCAACAAAGAGTTGCAACTGGCCTTGCAGTGGAGGGCTCTGTGTGTGCCATGCAGGTATGTGTGTGACTGTGGTGGTGCAGATGTGCAGACAGACATGTTGCAGTCTTATTCATACTGCCTATAGGTTTACTTTGGAGTAAATTATCCCCACCTGAAGTTTCCCTGAGAGAAAATTATCTGTGACAGTTCAAAAGAGAGCCCAGGAGCAAGCTGACATACAAGCAGTGTGAACTGTCAATGAACTGCAGAGTGCAGTGAAATGGAGTGCTAAGTTGTTTGACAGCATGCAAAGGTGACTTAGATCAATGTAACTTGTCAACTATATCTGTATGGCAGTGATGTCCCTGAAACACCATCCTCATATCTTGAGTTAACGCTGCAAAGATTCCTGCACAAAGACATGCGTACTGTAACTAGTCATTTTTTTGTGTGCCTTCTTATTTCTGGAGATATTTTGGTGTCAATGTCTTTCATGTCTCATGTATTTACTCAGCTCTTTATACTCCAAATACTTTTCTTTTCAATTTTAAATACAACTCTGATATAACACAGAAAAATAAAATGTCAATTTACTTCTATTGTGAATTACTATTTCCAGAAGGCAGCCTTATTTTCAAAGACCACGCTTTCTGTGTAAAATAAATTTCAAAGTGACTATTTCCATTATCTTTATTGTATTTTTAACTTCCCAGTTAATTTTTTTGCACAGTTTTTATTGCCAAATTTTACTTTTGTCTAACTTTAACCAGATATTAGAAATTTGTATTTCTTTCTTTACCTTCCTCTTATCCAAAATTCTGTAAGAAATTTTATTTCAGTAAAAGTATATTGAGTAAGAGTGGTACATTTTACCAGTATTCATCTTGTATTATATAATTCATAGTTGTCTTTTAAACAGAAATATTTTCCTCATTCACTTTGTAGAGATTAGTCAGAAAAAAAATAAACTAATTTTTGGGAACATTCAACTGTAAACCATAAACCTTTCTTTTTAAAGTTCTTAAACATAAGAAATTGTATGTCTGTAACTATTTTGAAGTATTTCTGTGGTTTTGAATGTCCTATTATTTCAAATTCTACTTTCTTAAAATACTGTTGAAAGAATATGGCTAGAAGTAGAATATGAATTTCCAGACACTGGAATAAAGTATTCATGGTCAGATACATATTGAGCAATCAAAATGAACTATAAAGCTGGAATTAAACTCCTACATTCAAAAGAACTTTTTAGAATGTTTCTATTAGTTCATAATGGAGAAACTCTTTTTTTTGGATTACCAAATCTCTGTTACACTGTCTAAGAGGGAGAAAGAGGGCTTTGACCAGGAGAACAGGCAGAAAAGAACCCAACTGCTAAACTTCCAAACTGTCCTCTTTTCAAATTTGTTTTTTAGTTCAATGTATCTCTGGTATGAAATTATCTCAAAATTCAAATCATATGCAAAATGTTTTGTCTGCTATGCTACAGAAATTGCATGCTCTTGTTTAGGTCAGGAAATACCTGCATATGTGGTTGAATAGCCTTTATAGGAAGTATAGGTCTGAGATATAGCTTTTAATAGTCTTGGTTATTGAACCCTTTTCGAGATTTCTATGTAAATAGGTGTGCAAAACAGGACAACAAGCCACTGTTTGAAAAGGAAAATTTTGTTCTGCTTACGGTTGTCTCAATAGATTAGAGTGCTCTGATTGAACAAAACACCCAACATCTCAAAAAAAGACTGCAAGCTCAAACTCAGTTGTACTAAGTGGTTTTTTTTTGTTGTTGTTAGATAGCTTTAGAGATTTTTTTTTTTTTGTGCAGCCTGTGTTTAACTTTTTATTTTAAAGATGTGTTAGATATTTTTAAAAATTGTGATGTAGCAGCCATTTCCTTTTATGTACTGGGACTCCTAAAACTCATACTCATGATTGAATATGGTTTTGCAATACATTCTATTTTTGGTGTCTTTTATGTAAAGAACTGCAGTCAAGAATGGAATTATAACACCCTTCTACTGGAACATGGAAACACAGCCATCTGGCATGTATGGGTTTCATCATTTTGCCAATTTTTTTCCTACAGCTTATTTTAGTATTTGGGAGAACCTTCTTTTACTTGGTGTTTTTGTCAGAGTGAAAAATGTGCAGAAAGGCATGTAGTCTATATCTGTAAGAGCTATAAGTGCTCCTTTTCACAATCTACACTGTGCTGAATGATTTGGTAAAGATTCAAAATCCTCTATGCTAACAGATTATTATATAAATATGAAATTTTTATGGAACTGCTGTATTTGTTGTCACCTGTATGATTTAATAAATTTCTCAGTACGTGTTTTTCCACTGGATTTTTAAAATGAAAAAAACCCTTGTTGTCACTCAGTGTATTTACTCAGTTTTTGTAAAACCATGTTTTTAAAGGAAATACAAACAGGAAGCAATTCAGGAGTCAAGAAGAAGAATCATACTATATTGCAATTGGATTTGGAGAGATAGTTAACAGTTATTCTTTCTTCTCCTCCAAGAGTGTTACTTCTTTTTTTTCCTTTCTTTTTTTTATGGAGTGAAAATTTAACATGCAGTTTATTGTTCTCTTTCGTGAACAAAAATACCCACTCTGGAGTACTTTTAAATATATTTCTAATTATTCTATTTGCATTTATTAGAGGTCAGTAACACTTCAGAACAGGTAAGAAAAAGGTACCAGCCTCTGAATTATTTTCCATAAATAAGCTCCAGTCCACATTTTAGGATGTTTTAAGTACTTCCTACTTTGTGACTCTGGTCACATGAGTTATAATTTTCCTTCTATTTTGAAGCTGTATTAGAATTGGCCATCTTTTCTGTGTGTGACGTTCAGAGTATGGTGATACAGAGGTATAATCAGGGAATTTTTTCATCTACCATTCCCTAGACAGGGAACAGGTATCTGCTTCTTACTAGAAATATAGCAATGAAACCTTGAAAAGCAAATTGTGGGTAAAAATGCTGAAGAAGTCCAAAAAAGTAAATCTGGTGTGTGAAAGTTCATCTGTACTATATCTGCATTCTCTTTGTACTTCCTTTACCCCTTAACAGGGTGAGGAGTTTGGAAGGCTGCCTTCATTTTTGCCTTCATATACCAGTAGATAGGGAATTAAATCTAAGAATTAGCCATAAAATAGATTATAGTCTAAAGAATCCTTGCAGGAAACAACAGTCAGACAAATTAGAAACCTATCAATTCTGCTGGTATCCTGTGGGTCAAGGATTGGAAGAGAAATTATAATGCCCCATTATAGAAAATTTGTACTTTTGGAGACCAAAAAAGGAGTTTTAAAAAGATGAGAAGCTAGAGTTGATAAGGTGTCACAGGGACAATAAGGCTTTTTGGAACACAGAAGTAACTGACAATCATTCATTTTGCCTGCAGTATGGTGCAACATTGGTAATTTTAGCAACATCTGATAGTCTCTGTAGTTAGGAATACCTAAATATTTTCATTACAAGCAACATTTGTCAGACATGAAGGCTTTTGCTATTTCAAGCCATGTAAATATGTATTTTTTTAAGGCTGTAATACTATCATCAGTGCTTAACTTCTTGGTCACCCCACAAAATTCATGAAGTTGTTCAGGGCTGAATTGGAAATTTGTGATGTTGCTGAGGTAGCCACTGAATCATCATGAATCGTCACTGAAAAAATTTAAGCTACTGAGGAAGACAGGAAGAAAATATTGTTTAGCACCAAAATAGAGCATGCGTTTTTTTTCATTTATTCTCTACTGAAGATTTTTTGTTCTGTATACACTACTGCTGAAATAATATCAGTATCAATTCTATAACACCATAATAGATCACCAACTGGTCAGTCTTAAGGCTTTTGAGACAAACCAGCTCAGCAAGTCTGGCAAGTTATTTAAAGTACATGTCACCAGAGACTTTCAAAGGATATGTGAACTGCCATTTTCTGATACCGATAGCAGCAGGTAAGTCTCTTGAGATTTTTTGAAAGAGTTGTCAAAAATGTGTTCCCTCAAACAGTAAAAAAAAACTTTATGTCATAGACATTTGATAGCTGAATTAGATAAGAATAGCATTTTTATTGTAGTTTACATTGTTGTATATCTGCACATGTCCAAGGATAGCAGCCATAATTGTACTAGTATTAAAATATAAAAAATGGCATATTGAGTCGATCACACATTTACTACTGCCT